CTTTTTCTCCACAACTTTGCTAGCATCTGTTATTTTTTTACTTTTTGATAATAACCATTCTGATTGGTGTAAGATGGGATCTCATTGTGGTTTTCACTTGGATTTTTCTAATGATCAGTGATGTTGAGCTTTTTTTCATATGATTGTTGGCTGCATGCATGTCTTCTTTTGAAGTATCTGTTTATGTGCATATATTATTTGTATCCTTCAAGCTTGTTTAACTCATTTATTAATTCTAATAGCTTTTTATTTGGTAGAAGAGTGACTCCCTTCTATTTCTCATTGGATGAGTATTTTTATCATAAAAAGTATTGGATTTTTAAAATTCTTTTTAATCTATTGAGGCATTCATGTGACTTTTTGTGGGTTTTGTCTTTTATTCTATTAATGCATTATTTGATTTTTTTTGAATGCTAAATTTTAGGTTCTTGAGATTAATCTGACTTTGTCCTCATATATAATCTTTTTTATATGTTGCTGAATTCTACTCACTAATATTTTGTTGAGTATTTGTGTCTTTATTCATAGGAGATATTCATATGTAGTTTTGTTTGCTTATGTTGTCTTTTCCTGATTTTTTATCAAAATGACACTAGCCTTATGTGATAAGTTTGGAATTGTTCACTTCTCTTCTAGTCTTTGAAAGAAGGGTATTCATTCTTTTTAAAATGTTTAGTAAAATTCACCAGTAGAAATCACAGGAGCCTGGGCTTTTCTTTATAAAATTATTTTACATTCCTAATTTATCTGCTATTATAGATCTATTCAGATTTTGTATTTCTGTTTATTTCTTTGTATTTCTTTTTCGGTCAGTTTTAGTAGTATATTTATAAAAATTTGACCATCTTATATGTTATCTAATTTATTAGGATACAATTTTATAGTGTTCCTTATAATTTCTTTAATTCTGTACATTTGGTAATTATGTTGTCTCTTTCATTCCAGATTTTAGTTATTTCTTCTTGTATTTGCATTATTCAGTACAGCTAAAGGGTTTTCAAATTTGTTGATCTTTGCAAGAATACACTTTGGGTTTTGTTGATTTACTGTAATGTGTTTCTACTCTTTATTATTGTCACTCCAGTCTTCATTATTTCCTTTCTACAATTTGTTTCCATTTAGTTTGCTCTTCTTTTTCCAGTTAATTAAGGTGGAATATTAGGTTATTGAGCCTTACAGATTCACAGCCAAATTCTAACAGATGTACAAAGAAGTGTTTATACCACAGAAGAGCCAATAAATACCAAAGAGCTAATCCTACTGAAATTCCAAAAAACAAAGAGGAGTATTCCTCCCTCACTGATTCTTTACAAAATGTCAATCATCAACTGCATTATGACATATCCCTTTCATTCCCAGATACATACAAAGAGAAGTAAAAACATATGTTCACACAAAAATTTGTAAAATGAATTTTCCTAGCTTTATTACATATAATAGGCAAAAGGTGTGAACAACTCAAATGTCCAACAATTGAGAAATGAATAAATGTGCAAACAAATGAGTTCTTCTGTTCACCAGACTAGTGTAGTGAATCCCCTTAAGCAAAAACGTTCTGGAATTAAATTATCTGGATTGAAATTTTAGTTCTGCCACTCTTTACTTGAGTTTCTTAATCTTGTGTTTCTGTAGCTCTGTCCTGTTAATAATAGAGCATATCTCTTGGAGAAATTTAATGATGAAATAGCACATGTAAACATTTAAACCAGCTCATGTCACTTAATAAATACTAAGTACATATTGACTATTATTATTGGTCTTCCTACTATCACTTACTCATTTTTGGCTTGAAGTATAAAACATAAACTTCCTCTAACACTTCCTGCCACTCAAGGGCATGCTAAAGAGGGACTTTATTCCTGACATGCCCCTGCTCCAACCTGCTCCTGTCTTGAGGGAAGTGGAAAAGCAGACGAGAGGGGTCTATATAATTGATGAGAGCATGTTATTCATGATACCATGTTGTCAGAGGTTAACTCTTCCTTTCTTTTGCAGTTTGTCTCAAAGGTTGGTCAGAAGAGTCAGGGTTGTGCTCATTTTTGCCCTCATGGAATAAGTTAGATACAAGACTATGTACAGCTGGGCCAAAAGGCCCTCCTCTTCCTCTTGTAATCTCTGTTCTAATGATAATGGAATTTGTGAGGTGGGTTATATTTACATTTTACTGAGTAGGTATAATTGAACCTATATGTAGACTTTAGCATTCCCTGAACAGAATACAAAATTTAGATTTGAAGCAAAAGAGTAAAATAAAATAGCAGGCCTTATTTTTGGTCTTAAACTGAATCCATACCCTCATATTTTGTTAAACCTGAGAGAATTGTCTCCCTCTGAGCTTCATTTAAAGTCATTTTAATAAAGTCCATAATTTGATCATTTAGCAAATTGTCCCAGCAAAAAGAAGAGGTAATTTTTATTTCAAACATTAGAAGACCATAGCAGAAGATATTCAGTCTTCCTCAAAATTTATCTTTCAAATAAAGGAATGTGGCACAAGGAATACTATGTGGAGATTATTTTAGAACCCTATAAGCAGTCCTTAATCAACAGAGGCAAGAGCTAAAGGTAACAGAAACCCTAAGAGGGCTATGGGACTGCATGTGTCCTTTCTTGATAGAAGGCCTAACAATTAACTCAATTGTCTGTGTTAACTGTCTGGTAGTTTGTCATCGATGCCTTCCGTTACATACCCTCTATGCTCCATCAATCATATTCTAATCCTACACAACCATTTTTTAACTCTGCATTTCTCCTACCTCCTCAAGCCAAGCTGTCATCCTATTTTTATCACGACTATTGCTTACACCCTCTGAATGTTCCCCAGTGTCCATTTGTGGCCTTAGATGTTCAACCCACCCCTAACTTTGTAGAAAAAATTATCAAATGCCAATCTCCTTTAGAGCCCTTTCTTTGTATTTCACCACCTTTAGTAGAAAGATAAAAATTAAATGTTGTTGATAACAGAAACTCTGCTACTTCTGCTACTTCAGCCCATATCTATTATCCTAGCCTTACCTTGAATCTCTCCTTTTTATTTTTTTAAAGCCCCAAGTATATTGATTTATTTAAGTTGTTTCAAAGAAGAAATTTCATTCCTATATTGAGACATTTGCATATGTTGAGCCCATTTGCAGGAACGTTCCACTATCCCCACCATGACGACCTTACAAGCATGACAACAAACCCACCACAGCATCTGATCTTCTCACACACTAACAGTTTTCCATAGTTCCTGTCTTCTCCAAGACACTGTTGCCCAACAACCCCCAATTTCCACGTGTGGATTACTCAACCTCTGGTGGTAACTAAAGGTTTAAGAAATCTGTGTTATTTTTCCTTTTACACCACAGAAATCAAAGTTATTTTGAAAGAAACTGAAGATAATTCTTCTTAGTCCACCTAAATGTGCACCAAATTCTTTATCGTAAGAGAAACTCTGCCTCTATCCTTCAGACACATCTTCAGAGTGAGAATTTAGGAAATGTTGGATTTGTCTTATCAAACACACTGATGGTTCTTCCTCCATGTTTAGTGTCTCTCTGGTAAGACCGTAAGCCTCCTGAGGGCAGAGCCATTATGTCAATTTAAGGCTTATAACTACCTCTTATGCTTTTCCATAATTTTTTAGTAACATGGGTCAGGTTCCGGCCATTCAAGGCTGGTGCTTTGCCTTTATAAGACATTCTGGACATAAATTTATATAACTGTCTCCTATCTTTACACCACGGAAATCCATGTGATAATTATCTAGGGCAGGTAAAGTCCCCAAGGAAAGAAACATGTGCTTACTATACAATACTCCACTTCTCTACAATCAAAAAAAATTTTTTTAACTGCAGAGAATACTGGATACAATGAGGGACATTTCTTTCAGGTTGGAGAAGAATCTAAACCTTGGTTTTGTCACATCATTTATATGCATCAGGCTCTTGACAACGACAATGCTTTTTCCCCCCATGATAAAGAGGTGGGGGAACCAAGACCACCGTTCCCTCTTCTCTTGGCCCCAATCTCCTTGTGGATCAGCAGCACCACCAGTCTCTTGTTTTCTTATTTTTATGTCACCATCCCCCTCATGGGTCACAATCACTAGGAGAGAGCATGAGGAGAGTGGTAAAAACGACCATCATCTTTTTCTGGCATAGTTATGAAATAGACTAGAAACCTAAAATGAGGCCTGAAACTGGATGGTTTTTTGGAGGATGATGGGGACGCAGAAATGGTGGTGTGGGAAGGGAAAAGGCCTGGACTAAGAAACAAGAATGCTTGGTTTTTTGCTCCCAGCCCTTTTATTAACTTGTGTGATTCTGGGTCCATTAGTTCCTCTTTCTGGGTTTCATTTACTTCATCTGGGGAAAGAGTACAATGGCTATGACTATATACAAGCTTATTTCTTATCCCACGAATGCTAAAAGTCTACAAGGTGTTTTTCATTAGTAGATTGCCTGGGTGCCCCATGAATAGTGCCAAAGACTGCTGGAGAACTAGGTCAGGTCACAGCCCATCTAAATGTACAAGGCTGGGGACCCTGCCTGTGCCCTACTCCATGTACACCAAATTCTGCATGTGGTAGATCATTTCTTAAATTCTTGGATTATAAAAGTAACCAATCAGACACAGAGAATAAAGATCATGAAAGAAGGACATTAACAGTAGATGTGGTAATTAGTCAAAAGTTTAAAAATATTCGTTTCAGTGTTTCAGTATCCTGAGAACTTAGGGGACAAAAGTAACTAAAACAACCTCATCCAATGTCAGCCTTTAGAAGGCTTTTCTAACTCCCATTGACTGTAGCCAAGATTGTTCCTCAATCAACGTCCCCCTCCCTGCAACCAAATGCACATTTAAAGGTGCACTCAACCCACCCCAACCATGACTCCCAGTTTGTGTCATGGGAAGTGGCCTCATTTTTTTCTCACTCCACTTCCAGAAATCGTAAATCCAGGAAATGAAACAAACTATTAGCCCAAAAGTCTAGGAATGCAAATCCCTGGACCTACCTTTCTTCAGGCCTGCATTGTCCACCGTAGGTCTGATGTGTGCAGTGCTCTGGGCAAGTTCCTAAAATTTCTTTGGTTCAAACACAGTGAACTTCCCCCACTCCACACCTCACTCAGTTTAAATCTGCATTCCTCTTTTAGCAGATGTTTGGTAACTTAAAGGCTGTGTTGAGAATTTCTGAGAAGCACAACTAGTTCTTCTTTTATAAGGCAAGCATTAACTGATTTAGTGTTTTCCATATGGGTGTGGATGTCTATTTTGAAATTTGCTGAAAAAGCAGTGACTGCCTGATACAGTCTTTCCTATGAAAATAATAGTGCTAATTACTGTGGATATCAGTGGTGGAGGACTTACTGTATGCCAGTCTCTGCTCAAAGATTGTCCTATAAACAAACTAAGTAAATTGTAATTTGTAAATGTCCCCTTTCACAATTTCACACATTTCCATAGTACTCTTTTCTTCCCGGAGAACTACTATTGCTATTTTATTAGGCTGGTGAAGAAGTAATTGCACCTTAATATAATGCAACATAAATATCTTATTTACACGATATCCCACCTTTGGAGGTTCAACATGAATAGCCATAAAATGGTTGTACAGCAATAATTAATACAACACCTTTCTAAGTCAAAGAAGCAGCTGGTATCATAGAACCAGTTGGTCTTTGATTAAGACAGACTCAACGGCAATCATTTATTGCATGACCTTGTTAATCCCCTGAACCCAAGATTCATTTGTAAAATAAAATAATGCTGACTTTACATGGAGGAGAAAAGCAAAGTGGCATTTAGTTTTCATTCATTCAGCATTTTCTTAGCGATCCAAGCAGTGTGCCATGTGCTTCAGATAAAATGATGAAAAATGATTTTCACTCAAGGAGTTTGTAGACTACTTGGCAATAGAGAAAAGTGAATAAATCACCCATTATAATCAGTTACCTGCAAGGTAAAGTGGCAATACAGATGAGTAAATAAATCATTACAACCCATTAAAATCAGTGATCTGCAAGGTAAAATAAGGTATCCTAAGAGAGCTCATAGGGCAATCAATGAACTCAATATTAGGTAGGCAGGGGAGACTTCCTAGATAAAAGGACATCTAATTGGGGACCTGATGAACGAACAAAAGACACACAAATAGAAGGAGATGGAGGTAGGTGACATTATTATTCCCCTTTTCCAGAAGATGGAACTGAAACTCAGCGATATTTCTACAGCTGGTATAGATGAGATTGAAATCCAGTTTTGCCTAATTCCAAAAACTTTTTGGTCCATAATCTGAAATTATTTTCATTCTCAGAATTAAAATGGATTATATTTGAGAAATATTGTCCTAGTTTTCATGTAAAGAAACAATAGGAATAAATAACACTGTAATCAGGGAGTTAGGCTCAAGAAAGAGGCAGTTCTCTAGGGAAGGTATGATGGTTACCTGAACTACCTGTGATGCTAGTGAAGTTGGCGAGAATGAATGGATTTGAAAGATGTTTAGGAATGAGAAATTATAGTTCTTCTTTATATAATGGCTGCATAAATTGGGATAAAAAACAGGAAAGGATGATGCTCATTTTGGGTTAGGAAACTGAGTGATAGAGCCATTCTCTAAAGCAATAGACATGGACAGGGACAGAACTGCAGGAACAAAGAGTAAGATTTTGAGCATACTTAATTTGAATTGTGTGGGGGCCTTCAAATAAGGTTGACAAAAGTTGGATAACTGGTGGGAGCTAGGGAATGAGACCATGGCTGTAGAGGTAAACCCAATCGCTCTTCACCCAGAAGGATGAGGACATGCAGGCTCCCAGGTAGAGGCAGAAAAGATTAAACCCTTTTTGCTAGAGGATAGAACCAGTATTATCAGAAATAGGAGTCCCCAGATGATGACAAAAAAGAGATTAAAGAAGATAACAGGCAAACTAGGAAAATGTGGCATTACAGAAGACAAGGGTACAGAGTTCCATGACTTCGCAAGAGTGGTTGAAATTCTAGACTGAGAACAGACGTCAGTCTTTCCTCCCCTTCCATATGGTGTGAAATGAGACATGATTAGTTATTATTAGCAGACAAGTGATTTTGAGAACTTATGGTGACAGAAAGAACAATAAAAATGAAATTTGACAGAGAAACAAATAGAATCACCCTACCTCTAAGTAAGCATAGAACAAAACTCACTACTATACAAATAAGAGCAAATCAGAAAGAGCTCAAGTTCAGTGTTAAAACTGTAAGCAGCAGAGAAGTAGGTCGGAGCCCAGAGCAGGTGTTAATTAATTTTTTAAATTATATTGGAAAAGCTGGGTCAGTTGTTCCTCTTTCCCTCACACAGGCATCACATAACAAGGTAGTTTATTCCCAAACCAAAATATGCAAACTGTTTTATGATCAAAAAACCAAACCAAAAACTGATTTATAGTTCTGCTCTAGACAAGTATATAGAATGTGAGTGCCAGCGCTGAGTAAAAACAGGAAAGAGACAAGAATTAATGTCTCAGCTTCCATTCACTGGGTATAAAGAAAAAGAAAATGTTCTCACTCATAGGAGGGTGTTGAACAATGAGAACACATGGACACAGGGAGGGGAGCACTATACACTGGGGTCTGTTGGGGGGAAATAGGGGAGGGACAGTGGGGGGTGGGGAGTTGGGGAGAGATAGCAAGGGGAGAGATGCCAGATGTAGGTGAGGGGAGGAAGGCAGCAAATCACACTGCCACGTGTGTACCTATGCAACAATCTTGCATGTTCTTCACATGTACCCCCAAACCTAAAATGCAATAAAATAAAATTTTAAAAAAAGTTTACTCATGTAACACCCAGGGCCAATACCAGTGACTAGAGCCCAGAATCTCTTAAGTGCTAACCTCTAAGGCTTAATAAAGCTGCTTTAAAAATTTAAAAAAAAAAAAGGAAAAAAAAAAAAAAAAAAAAAAAAAAGCAGAGAACATTAAGGAATTGATCCCCAAATGAAAGTCCTGAGTTCACTCTCTAGAGCTGGGATTCTGATGATGAAGACACAGAGGTCACCTTAGTCTGGAGAAGCAGGGGGCTTTCTACAACCTACATCACAACCAATCTGTACGTATAACCTGGCCTACTCTTCTCTCATAGCCACCAGATGTAGGCTGTGGTAAGCAGGACCTACATTCCCTGACATGATAAGAAAAATGGACACTGAACATTTAAGAAAACCAATATTGTAAAACAGAGAAACCAAATACAACAAACAAATGAACAATCATGTTTTCTATTTTCTTGATTGACTGTTCTGTATGCACTTTATTGGATTATTTCTCCCTCCAATTAATTTTAGTAGTTATAAAGTTTTTACTATTATCTTGTAATCCTAAAAATCAAAGCATGTGCATTTGATTTATCAAATTCCAATAACATTTAGAACATTTATTTCCTCCAGGAAAGTCAATAGTGTGATGGTAGATTTAATCCAAAATATGTAAATAAATATGTCATATGTAATAAAATACAAATATTTCAGACAAAATTTTCATTGGTCAAAACCGAAATAATTACTATTTAAAAGAAGTAAATTTTAATACATACAAAAAGTGTAATGTACAAGGATGAGAAATGATATATTGAGCAAACCCTACCCCAAAAAAACTTACAAGACAAAATTAACCTTAAAGAAAAATGTTACTGATAAGCAACAGGATTAACTCTTAATTATAAAAATAGTCCAATCTTCAGAAAGATATAATCATTTTAACTGTGTATATTTTTAATAACAGAACTTCTAAATATAGAAGCAAAAATGGACAACCTGCAGATTATTAGATATTTTAATATATATAATTAACAAAGGATATATATCCAGAAAATATAAAGAACCATTGTATGCATTAATTAAAAGAGACAACTCAGTAGAAAATTGTTCAGGAGACTTCTCTAAACATGTCACAAAAAAAATATCCAAATGCCCAAAAGATATTTGAAAACATGTTTGATCTTCATGATAATCAAGAAAAGAAAATTAAAACCACAATTAGATACCACAGTACATCCACCAGAATCAGAAGTGATATTAATAAAAGCATAACAAATTCTGGACTCACTTCTCTGAGTGAAACTTATTGTTTAATTTTTCTTTCCAATTTTTATGTTAGGTTCAGGAAGTACATGTAAACATGTTCAGGTTTGTTATATGAGTAAAATTCATGTTGCGAGGATTTGGTGTCCACATTATTTTGTCACCCAGGTAATAAGCATGATACACAATAGATAACTTTTTCTATCCTCACACTCCTTCCACCCACTACCTTCAAGTAAGCCCCAGTGTCTATTGTTTTGTTCTTTGTGTCTATGTGTGCCCATTTTATAGCTCACACTTATCAGTGACAACATGTGGTATATTGTTTTCTGTTCCTGTGTTAGTTCACTCAGGATAATGGTATCCAGCATCATCCATGTTGTTGCAAAAGACATGATCTTATTTTTCTATGGTTGTGTGGCATTCCATGGTGCATATGCACCACATTTTCTTTATCCAGCCCACTGTTGATGGTAATTTAGATTGATTCCATGTATTTGTTATTGTGAATAGTTCTGTGATGAACATATGCATGCATACATCATTATAGTAGAACAATTTATATTTTTAGAGGGTTTACACCCAGTAATGGGATTGCTGGGTGGAATGGTAATTCTGTTTCAAGTGCTTTCAGAAATTTCCAAACTGCTTTCCACAGTGGCTGAACTAATATACATTCCTATTAGCAGTGTATAAGTGGTCTCTTTTCTCTGCAACATGGCCAGCATGTTATTTTTTGACTTTTTAATAAGAGTCATTCTGACTGGATGAGATGATATCTTATTGTAGATCTGTATTTTTCTTTTCTTTTGGTGAGGGAGGGGACAGAGTCTCACTCTGCAGCCAAGGCTGGAGTGCAGTGGTGTGATCTCTGCTCACTGCACCTCCACCTCCTGGGATCTCATGGACCTTTAAGTTTAGGAGACATTAGAAACTCATCAGTCTTCTGGTAGGCCACCATGCAAATTAACATATTAAAACAAGTCCCAACAAAATATTATTGCTTGAAAGTGAGGAAAAAATAAGGATTTTCTAAGAAATTGCAGGGCACAGAAGAGTAGCTGGGATTACAGGGGCCTACCACCATGCCTGGCTAATTTTTGTATTTTTAGTAGAGACAGGGTTTCACCATGTTGGCCAGACTGGTCTC